TGTAAATATGGATTCTACTGAGAGTAATGTCATTTTAGGTGGTTACGTTGGCTCTGGTTGTTCGCAACAGAATAGAAGCCCTTGTGTATTTCTTCTAGCTTCTTTGAAATGTACGTTGGAAATGTTTCAACTGTCAATTAGTTGATGGGTCGCAGACCGCAAGTGGGATGGATTTGTAGCATTGTATTCCTTGAATTCTTTTGGCAGCTTAAAAGAATCTGAAAGATAATGACATTAGTTCTTTTAAGGTTTTACTTGGTTTAAGAATCGACTTACATGCGTGCCGTGCTTTTGTAATTAATCATGATACATTCTTCACCAGCTTTGCAGTTGCCGCTTGACTGAAACTATTTTACGGCTACGTTCAGACGCAAAACATAGCTTTTTTTAAAACGTCGGAATTGGGCGTTTGTCACTGGCCACTCACTAAGTGTAAAGGACGCGCAGAGAGATTTGACATTCAGGATTCTTTTTTAAAGTTTCAAGTCGCCTCCACCTCCACAGTTGCCGAGTTCAAACAACCAGATTTCTCAAATTCCCATAAGCATGCCAATGGATTAAGATTGGTCTAAAGGAACTAGTTTTAAGAATGACAGCTAGTGCTGAAAAAACCTTGATTGGTGGGACAGTTAGACATAATTAAGTTTGATTACGCTGTAGCGGCAGCGCAAGGAAATTGAATGACTCTGAACTCAGACACGAATTCGATAACATCGAAATTGGGTATGTGCCACAGGTCACTCACTCAGTGTAAACGACATGCAGCGATATTCGACAATTAATTTTCTTTCACAGACCTGCAAGTCGCCTCCACTTCCGCTGTTGCTGAGTCCAATCAGAACCAAATCTGTCAAATGCTCCAACAGCAAGCCAATGAATTAGAGATTAGTCTGGAGGAACTCATTCCATGGATGTGCGCTAGCGCTGACAACACCAACATGTTTGTCCTGTATCGTGCGATCTGGGCTTGTCTGAGAGCCACCAGTCTTGTGAGGTGTCTGCCAAGAACTCCAAATGATTAATGACTCGATCTTTGCTGTTTATCGGGTAATTTTTTAAATAATGTCCTTTTCTAGCTATGTGTTTGCCATTTTTCTGCCGGTTTGTTTTCATCATTTGACATAAAAATCAATGCTTCGTTAAAAAGTAAGCGGCATGCAAAGTGATGTCCTAAGTGGATATCGTATTTATTGTTCGACTGCAAATGATTCGCGTTAATGCAGAATGCAAATCGAGAGGTTGGAAGTGATCACATAGCCAAAAATCGGCCGATAATGGGCACCCAATTCCGTAGCTGAATATCCCAGCTATGTAGTGAATTGTGTGTGTGCGTCAGTGGAAGGCTTTTTTACATGGCCATCAAACCACAAGCGAAAATATTTAATCTTACATTCAATTGATGTTTGACAAGTGCAAGCGCTAATCCATCAGTCTTGTCAAAAACTTTACATCTCAATTTGCAAATAAGTCTTCAAATATTTGACTTAATGAATTTTACTGAGAACATTTTCAGCATTATTGTAAACAATTTATTACGAACATGCGTATGATGAATATGGAAGGTTGTGATCACATCTTCCAATTCACCGCATTTTGCATGCGAAGATTTCGCGTAAAAAATGCATCATGCAATTTTTTTGGAACTGTGTCCTTAAATTTGTTGGAAATCTCAAATATCATTGCATAGTAATGTTTAATTTTAATCTTTGAATGGACAATATGCTTGGTAAAGATATTCGATAGAGCAAAATTTTTTTCTTCTAACCGTGCACTCATCTTCAACCTGAAGTCGGTGTGGTGACGAGAACACGAACATTTGACCATGTAGGTATTGCTAACAGTTTTCGGTCATTACAAATCATGTTTTTTGCTAAAAAAACAACAATGAAAAATATTTCAAAGTTTATCTGATGCTTTGCATCAGAGTATACAGCAATGCATTCAGAATTCGACTTGTCTGTGAACCGCTCACGCACATACGGAAAAATGAATGCCTAATCTTAGCGTAGATAAATATGTCTGCACCATTACACGACACAACATGTCCGATTTAGAATACCTGAGCCCTTGAATAAAAGAAACTGGTGCTGTTACGGTTGCCCGTAACAATAGAGAATACCACTCAACGGCATCAGATCCCTTGCTGAAAGCTAGAACCGACCTTCCCAGGCTAATGCCAGAACAAGACCAGAGCTCGAGTAAAGAGCTTTATTCACGTCAGCCACGTGCAGAGACGAAATGAAATCGAAAGTAATTTGAAAACTAATTCAAGTCAAGGTTGACCTTGACTCGACAAAAGCGTAACAAAACAAATGTTAATAAATTAATGCAAATAAAATCAGAAACCAACCTTGGGGAATCGTGGATCCGCAACAGGTGCCGCAGAAGAGGCTTTGTTAAACACTTACAAACCAGAGCGAAATGTTAGAAGCCGTACACCTGAGTACACTACGCTGCCTGCGCCGCTCTTTCTATACCTATTTTGATAGTAGTCTCACTCTTGTTCGACGCATAAATTCCTCGCTGGTTATCCGAACACACAGTGACACAGTATCGGCTAAGACAAACGATGTCCGGTATGCCTACGCCCTTGTACAATGCTGTATCCCCAGTGTAGAAAAACAGAGATCTACAACTAAATGGAAGAAGCGGTTCATCCGCGTCCCCCACACCGTTTCTTTTACGCGTGGCTCTCTGATTGGCTACATACCTTTCTTGCGAAGCGAAGTAACACAATTCGCGGCTGCTTAGCGCCTGCCACCTTGCTGCTTGCGCCAAGCATATATCACTGATGCTGTCATTTTTCATCGGTCTCATAACAAAATCTGCTGCAACACAATGGACGAAACGAATTAAAATACCTGGCAAAATTACGCAGCTTACATTTCATTTTACACACCATATGAAGTGGTTAGATATTCGCAAGACCTGACTAGTCGTCATGGTGCAACATTTTTTACGTCTCCACTGCGCCTGATTCGACTGTGATGCGCGGAACGCTAGCACCGTCTGCCCGTGTTATTAATCGATGATGTGATTGCTGCCTATTGTGGACCAACGCTGCCTCAGTGACCCATTGATAAGCACACTCAAACACGTTTATACCGCATACTGAGAAATAAATAAGTGTCTTTTGTACAGAGACTTTCTGTCAGTATTTTACTTGCACCTTACGGAGTAAGCGATTCTTCATTTAAGGGGAGCGTGTACTTCTCACCTTGCACTTTACACCACGAGCTCTTCACTTCCTTCCATCATCTCTTCTGAAGCTTCAACACCGATGAGTAACTTCCTGTTGAATTACCAATTGACTTTTCCCCTCTCCCTTCCCCCCCCTCAACAGAGGTAAAATTACAATTCTTCTTCTATTTCATTTAGTTTTTAATATTAAACCAATCGGTTCAGTGCATCCCTTAATAATCGAAGTTTGGTGATTGGGGCCTTATTCTGCATAGAACACGCAAACAGGTCTCAAAGCTATTAACTTTCCAGTCTACGAAAAGATTTTAAGAGACGGCGTTTACTCCAAGGCTCATTTTCAAGCTTTGACATCTGAGTTGCATATGAATACAAAAGACGGCTTTCTGCTGATTAGGTTTGGACATGTCGATCGTGCAGCAGGAGATCCTACTTCTACTACCAATCCCTCTGCGCACACCCATATGGCTGTCTCTACCTGGTAGCCCTGATTGTTTGCATTGGTATCTAGGACAGATTTGAATTGTTAGCAGTGCTGGTGACTTCCGGAAATGTTATGCAATGCCTGTAATGTCGTTTGACCAGATAACATCGTTCCTGTGGGTAAAATGAACCAGCTTCATTTTCTTTCGTAAGCAAACAGCAAACACCGCAGCAACACAATTTTGACCTGACATGCAATCTGAGCAGACGCGGTGATAAGCCCATACTATTTAGGAAACTCAGTCAACATCAAGCGAATTGTAATTGAGAAGAGCATGTTTGCTGCATTCAGTGAATCTGCACATTCACCCAATGTAACGAGCTACCCTCCGTTTGCTAAGCATCATATACACAAACAGTCATATATTGCCTCCAGAGCTGGTCATAGGTGCCGCCTGCGCGTAGTTCCATACCATCGGCTTAGTGGTTACGAAGAGTTGTTAGTCAAGCTAATGCAGACGTCTTAGTTCGTAACGTCAATAGGGGTGATGCATCCGGAACCAGGAAATCTAACTCGGTACAATTTTAGCACAAGTGACAAATAAGATAATAATGCCCCGTAAAAAATTAGATGTTGACAAAACAAAAAACCTTTGCTTTATATATAATTGCGGAGTACTAAAGGAAAGCACAGCACATAATATACACTGCCCCTAAGAAGCCTAGCAGTAGACAAAATTAAACTAGTTCATGTACCTTAATTTCGATCACTAAAACGATTTGGTCAAATGGACGTTCCATGGATGCCCGAATAGGTCGGCTTTCAACTCCAATTAGCACCCTTGAGTCTGTACAGTTTTTAAAACGCAGATATTTTACCGGTTAATTCAGACCATTCGACAAGAAAATTTTCATACATTAGTGTCACACAATTTAAATTTCTAAAACACAAAATATAATGTCGATCATAATCAAGCCGCGTTAGAGCAAAATTTATTTTTCGTGCAAAACATAAAAATGTATAGTGTTGAATATTGGAAAAGAAGCCATTAATCACGCGTTAATAGCAAATTAGACTGAAAACACAATAAAGTTTCATTGTAAGAATCGTTGAGCAGGCAGAAACTTACCAAATTGCATTTTGAATATCTTCAGTTGGAAGCCAATTTGGACAGACCAACACCACAGTCAGATAGGGGTATAGTGAGTTTTCCCGCTTTTTTAATCAGCGATTAGGAGTGGATGGGATTGTGTCAATAGACCTCCAGTCACAGCTGCAGTACACATAGGCAAAAGGACTTGCGATGACAGAACTAACCGTCTTTAATGCCCAAAGGCTGTAAAGGGTAGCAGTTGCGTATCTCTGGTTTTCCTTAATCTTTGCTGAAGACATGAAGTCCATAGTCCATGGTTGCATAGTGAATGCTATGCTTGGGATGAAGAGTGCCAATGGATGGGCTCCTTGGAGGGTCGCATCTTAATTCCGCGGGAGATGCCATAGTGACGCGCATTGTGCTGTGATGTTTCTTCTGATGATTTTGGTACAGCTGCAAACGTCCTTAGCGTTTTTGCATTTGTAAGATAAATGTGCTGATATCTTGCTATTTAAAATGTCTCTGTGACGTTATCTACGCGGTTTTGAACTTGGCGAAAAGGCTTGCTCAGTTACCTTTGGTACTGGACCCACTAAATACTGTACTCAAATTATTATAGAATGAATAGAAAGCCAGGGTACCTGTAGAGCAAACTTAAATTCTTTGTCATACCTTGCCGTTAAAAACACGTCAGGTGCGACAGTTTAGAGTGAACGGGATACAGCGGATAAGACCAGCTTTTAGAGTCACGTCAGCCGTTAGTTTCGATGCTTGAGCTTGATGTGTAACGGTGATCGTGATTGATGACTGTGATCAATTGATTGATCAAGTCTTTGAACATGCACATAAGCTGAGTGTTAAATTCAGATAATCACTTGCTTCATATCCACTTAAAGTAGAGGCCGTGAAATGTGATTAATGCATTTGCGAAATTCACGCAGAATATGTAAGGCTTTGTTACGAAAGAATCCCTATATAATTTGTTTTCAGAGGAACTACCAATATAACTGTGATTGTCGTCGCAAGCAAAATGTCGCCTAATCTGAACCACAAAATTGGCTAGAACCTCGCGTTCGTCCTAGGTAAGACCTGGTAGACGTAAGCGGACGAACAATTCCTTAGCGGACATATCTCACTACCAGATATGAACTGCCATGAAGCAAGACAGCGGTGGAAGGCAGCTTTAAAAGCATTATCAGATATTAAAGAACCTAATATCAGTTATCATTAACATATCACAGCATCGACGTTTGAATGTATTGCTACACGTTCGGACACAAACCGCATATTTCCTTTTACTCTCGCCC